TGGAGGACCCTCAAGATGCAAGGCTTTGGATGCCTTCATCAATCTCTCCATTTGGGGAAAACGACTGGGAAACTGAAGTCTTTTCATTATTGTTGCCAATTATCCTGTGAGCTGATAAATCTCTGCAGCCATCAAAGGACCTTTTTGCCCCTGCTGCTGATTGTCTCACTGGCCCATCCATCAATTTCTCTTGTCTTTGCATAAAGGATTGTTACAGGCAAGAGCCAAGAAACAAAGTATGATTTCTTTTGAAGAATGCCTGTAAATTATGATACATGTCCCACTTAATCCATAGCTAGCATTAACAATAATATTTCTTACACTCTCAAAAATGTACACAGTTAAAAATTGTGGAGCATCTATTTTATACTTTTTTGAAAGCATCTTAGTCTGTTATAACCAGAAAAATTGAAATAGCTAAATCCACGATCTTAGTTAATCTGCCATTTAGGAATTCTTCAATTTAATCAATGGCATTCATTGGACTCTACCAATCCATTCAACAGAGTAAGCCCAGGGTCATAATTAAAGATGCCTGAGTTAAGAGTAAATCCTGTTAAATCTTGAAATGGAAAAGCCTGTCTTGATTTAGAGGCCTTGGGAGTTTATATGGGGCTTTAATTGATCAGCTAAGGAGAAAATGAATCTTGTGCTTTGATAGAATGCCTGCCTTTTTTCTTTTTTTTTTCCCCAGTTCAAATACAATTCTGTCTGTACTATATTGTGCTTCTGGGATAAATTGTCTGACATTTATTGGTTTGGCCAGAATGACAACTTGGGATGTTTGGTTGAGTGCTGAACAAGGTTGTTTGTAGTCCAGCTTCTGGGATGTCAGAAAAATTCAATCTATTGACAGGAATTAAAATCTTATTCAGTGGATGGTTGACTATTTTTGAACACGTAAGGTAATAAACTAAGCAAGGGAGAAAGCAACACTGAGATGTCTTTAGAACTGAATCTCTTCCTACTCTCTCTTAAAATAGGCTGCCAAAACTCAGTTCCAAATCACTTTCTGACAAAAAAATACAGAACTCACATTGTGTTGAACACAAAGTTTAGAAGTAATAAAACCTTCTCTTTAACCTAGAAATTTAACTTCAGTTATTGTTTCCAGAGGTTTCTTAAACACCTTCTTAATTTAATGTAAAAGCAGTGTCATTAACTTAATAGAATTTCTGATACCATCAGACAGGATATAGACCCCTGCAGAACTGTTGTTCTATTCACTGAAACTACCAGTGTTGATTAGAAAATAAAGCTGAACAAAGCTGGTAGACAAATTCAATTACTGAAACTAATTATGGCAATATTTCTACTTTTAAAAAATCTTTAGCCACAATTATAGTCCCCCATGATAGCAAACAGCATTCTATAGTAATCACTTACTACATCTTTGCTGGCTGGAGAACTCATTTGGGTAGAGAGAATAAAAAATCAAGCCAACTAGCAAGCAAGGAAACAAAAACAATTCAACATCAAATATTCATTCAATCACATTAAATATGAAAATTTTCAATCAGCCAGTTAACAATGAAATACAGTTTTATAATGCCTACCATCAGCAAGTACCATTAAAGCCGACAATTCAAAGCCATTGGTTTAAACTGTTTATTTAAACTGATATGCTGTCCCAATCCAAAAGGACTCTGGCCTATTTATATTCCCCTCTTACACTAATAAGGTTAAAAAATCAAAATGAACAGCATGACCAGATACAAAAACATTGTCACTCAGGAACAATCAAGCATCCAAAAAGAACCCCTCAAAGGACCTCATTAGTCACAGCCATTCCATTCCCAAGCCAAAGCTCTTTTCAAAATCATGCTTTAACAGTAATCCTAAGGCCAAACAAGAAGATAAAGGGAAGATTGAGAAGGTTGATCTCTGGCCTCCAAAGATGACAATCCCTAATGAAAGAGACTTTGAGTCCTCTGCCCTCAAATTGTTGCATCTGCTCCAAGAGAAATCCAAGTCTAATATTTTAACTTCTAGCAGCGGGAGCAACAACGATATGAAAAATGTCCAAGGTTGACAGGATGGCCATGAACTACACATCCACTCCCAGAGATGGCACATAGAAACATGTAAGGTATGGGAAGCTTCAATACCATCCTGGTGATGAAAGAGGGATGCTATCATGCAACAAAGGTATGTACCAAACTTCAAGAATAATGCCTCACATTCAATGCCTCAGGTTATCTACCTTATGTACTTCTGGTCACTTGTAGAGCCTTGCAAATGAGAACTGTCATGGTGCCTCCCTGGGCTTGAACTCGCAACTAGAATCTTACCGCAAACTCAGAAGGGCACATTGTAAAAAGGGGGCACTCCCCTATTTCTCAATCGGGTTTGCTAATGTGCCCTCTAATCACAATTAGGTTATGGATGAAGACAGATACATAATGGGCAGACCTGGCATTAAGCAGCTGCAGCAGCAGCGGGATCCTACCTATTCCATTACCGATTTTGTGATTGCACATGTGTGTGCACCTAACACGCGCGCACAGCTTTCCACACACCAGCTGAAGCCTGCAGCGCCAATCAACTGAGAGGATAAAGAAGAGGGGCAGGTGGGAGAGCTGATCCTGTGCCTTTCTCTTCTTTCTCCTCTCAGCTGGTTGTCTGCTTTGTTCCATCCTCTCAGCTGATCATTGGAGGCTTTTTTTTTTACTACTTGTTCAGCTGAACCGGGCCGAACCGGTAGCATACCACCATTGAGCTGCAGCTGCTGTAAACGGCCTCTAAGAACCGGATAACTTGGGTCTTGAGCTGAGGTAAGCAGACAGAGGTGGGAATTGTGGAAGCAGGCATAGTGAAATAAAACTTATATCTCTTGAGAGTAATTCCGTAAGTGTTCTACTTGGTATTTAATAAAATTCTATCAAACATGATGACGGTAGTAATCTACATTATCACTGTCGTCACCACATGTCCAGAACACACATTGCTAACTAGTACAAAGTATGCATAGATACTATTAGCTTGTTATATAGACATAACAAATACTCAAGTGGTGTTCTGACCCAGCCTTCATGAGCCCAAAATCAACAGTCCACACATGAGGAAAAACCCCTTTTTATTTAGAAAGGCAGGAATTCATGGCATTCACTGACAAAGCTCCAGGTCACACCTCCTGGAGAGTGATTCACAAGCCAGGTCTGTGGGTTCCCTGCAGGGAGTCTCAATTAGCATTTCAATTCCAACACAAAGAGTCCTGACCAGCCTGGTTAGTGGCAAGGAAATCCTGGGAAGGAATCCACTGGAGGGAACTTTTCTTGAGCATGAATGGATGTCTCAACACCCACGCCTCCCACACCCCTCCTCCTTATATCTCAAGCCCCGGGAAGGGACTTGTTAACATCACCTTCTTTTCCTGAATAGCTGGCCCTCAGTCCTCTATTGCTTTCCTCTCTGCACTTCTCTGTGCATATGCACTTCTGGGCCCAGCAATTCCTCCCCCTTGCTCATCTCAGGCCGGAAAACAGCTGTCCCTCAGCCTGAGCTTGAATAGGTGGGACCTGCTCTGCATCTGGCTTTGAGACCTCCTGTTCCTCAGAGCCTTCTGCCGGTTCTGATGGTAACCCAGGCACTCCCTTCAGGCTCCCGCTCTATCTCCTCTGACTCATCTGACTTGACTGCTGACAGCCAACTAACCACAACAAGTGGCTACATTTCATGTAAACTAAATGTTTCAGGAGTAACATCAGCTGCAGCACTTGTATAGTGGCCCAGGCTGGTTATTTATTTATTTATTTATTTGATTTGCCAATTGTTTACAAGATAATAAGTATAAGTGTATACATAGTTGTGAATACATGAAATGGGTACATATAAGAAAAATAAAAGAATAAGAGAAACAATGGGACAGGGACGGTAGGCACGTTGGTGCGCTTATGCACGCCCCCTACAGACCTCTTAGGAAAGGGGTGAGGTCAATAGTAGACAGTCTAAGGTTAAAGTTTTTGGGGTTTGGGGAAGAGACTACAGAGTCGGGTAGAGTATTCCAGACATTGACCACTCTATTGCTGAAGTCGTATTTCCTGCAATCAAGTTTGGTGCGGTTTACTTTGAGTTTGTATCTATTGTGTGCTCTTGTGTTGTTATGGTTGAAGCTGAAGTATTCATTGACAGGTAGGACATTGCAATGTATGATTTTATATACCATGCTTAAGTCAGACCGAAGACGGCGTAATTCAAGGTTTTCTAGTTCTAGAATTTCAAGTCTGGTGGCATAAGGTATTCTACAATGAGTAGAAGAGTGGAGAACTCTTCTTGTGAAATATTTCTGGACTTTCTCAATTGTGCTAATATCAGATACGTAATGAGGGTTCCAGACTGATGAACTGTATTCGAGTATTGGTCTAGCAAATGTTTTGTATGCTCTGGTTAGTAGTGTGATATTACCAGAGAAAAAGCTACGTAGGATTAGGTTAACAACTCTTAATGCCTTTTTGGCTATGTAGTTGCAGTGGGCTCTAGCACTTAGATCATTAGAGGTGAGTATTCCAAGGTCTTTTACAGAGCTTGGGTCATCCGCAAGATCTTGACTATTCAGCTTGTATTTTATTTTCTGATTTTTTTTGCCAATATGTAAGACAGAGCATTTATTTGTTGAGATTTGAAGTTGCCATTTGTTTGACCATTCAGATACATAGTCAAGATCTTTTTGTAGGGTAGCAGTATTGTCTGTGGTATAACTTTCCGTAAATGGGTTCAGTCTCAGAACTTTCCAAACCAAAGATAACAAAAGGTCTTCTTGGTTACTGCTTGCAACCCTTTGTTTCCACAGACAGCAATGAGTCTAGATAGATATTTTTTGGAGGAGTGCAACGCTACTCCATTTCTTTTATTTAGATGGATAGATACCTCCAACCAAAGCATTCCTGTCTTGTGTAATTACATGACCTCCCAAGGAAGCACCTCTGAAAATCAATGATGCTTTTAAAAATTCCATGCATTTTATTCTAATATAATTACTGCAAGAACAGATACCAACTTACTTAATGTAGTATGGAACACTGTTATGAGACACCGATCTCTGCCATGGTAGTTGTACAGAGGCTATAAAAATAATTAAAAAATTGGAAGTAAATAAATCAAGAAATCGATAATTTTATAATTTACAAATAGGCATACTTGTATGAAGATGCTGAATATAGAAATAAGAAGAAATATTTCAAACTCTGGAAGTAAACACTCCTGAACAATTTTTTAAGCATTTATCCTCAAAATCAACAGTACTCATTTCAAATGACTAGTTTAAAACAATTGTTGATGAAAAACCACTTATTTGGAAGATAACTTGGTCCAATTCAGTCCACTTAATAAACAGGCCCAATATACCAGGTGATCGCCTACCCTTTGATTTGGGAGTTTTCCTTTTCCTTTTTTGATTTTTTGCTTGCAAATTTGTAAGTGCATATATTGATTCAACTTTTAAAATACATCTTTCTAAATATTTTTCAGTTAGTATTTATTTTTTGAATCCCCTCCAGTTCCCATAGTTGTTTCAGTTACTTGAGAACAAAACCATTCACATTTTGTAAAACTGTTAAAAAGTCATCTTAGGGTAATAAGATGAACTCCCTCTTTCATTGCGCCTTTTAATCAAGATTTAGTATTATGTTCAGTCATATATTAACTCTGTATCCTCTTTTGTTTCCTATCCAGCGCTTGTAAACCTGCTCCTGACATTACCTAAATACAATTTAATTGTAATTCTAAATTGTCATTCTCTGTGAATTGTCTTTCTGAAGATTTCTCTGAAAGCATCTTCCTTACGTGACAATCATTTTGTTCTATATTTTCTTCAATGCTACTTATTAGAACTTGAGCATATTTGGGATGAAAAGAAAATTAAGAACCCTTGAAGTACTTCATTGGTATACTATTAGAGTCTTCATTAACCCATTTCATTAACACTTACTGGAAAGAAAATCTTGAGATTCAGGTTCATAATCATGGTGTATTTCTTGTAGTAGTTTAATACGATCATCTACCGATATCTGCACGTAAAAATACAAACAAGAAAAAGCAAGTAGTAAGCTTTTAACTGATCATACCAAGCCAACTGCATATAGCCAATAAGACAAATGATGGTTTAAAATTCGTTTGTGCAAATAGATTTAAAGAGAAAATATTCTGTCATCTTAAATCTGCTTCCCCGTTTATAATGTTTAAATAGAAGCTAGTAATGATTCTTCTGTAAGCAATGCAAATCAATATTAAATAAAGACATTCTTAGTGCTTAATACTGTCTACTGAGGTGTTCACTTTTTCCCTTGTCTAAATGTCTGCCTTATTTTGATTTTATTGATCTTTACAAGAAACCATACTGGAACATGCTGCTTACTGATTGACCTTATGGGTCAATATTCTCCTGGTTTGCTAATTAAACTGGATGAATATATACAAAACGTCTCAGTCAAATCTTTGTAAGGCATGACAAGTGTTTCTAGTGCTTCAAATTAGATTGATATGGAAGAAAAAATGTGTTTTAGAACAGCCTCAGAACAGGGGTTAATCATAATTCTTTGTAAATAGCTCTATCAGTTCTTTTCTTACTAAAGAGCTCCTGTGAACTCAAATAAAACCCAAAATAGTCTCCCGAGATGGCTTTAAAGTCTAGTTTAATGAAATTTTAGCATAATAGTAACACAATATTTCAGAAACAGTATGGTGTAATGCTCAAGATGCTGTAGTGACACTAGGAGCTCAGGTTCAAGTTCATCCTTAGCCTTAGCAGCTTACTGGGTGTCTTTGGGTCATTGACTTTCTTTCAGCCCAACCACAGGACAAGGTGGTTGTTGTGGGGAAAATGGAGATGGAAGTGCCCTGAGAAGAAGGAAAGGTAGGATCTAAATTTAACAAATAAACAATGCAAAAGAAAAGACAAGCCTCAAGCATGATCTGGATTTTGAATAATGCCTCTGGGTCCCACATTGTTTAGCTACATTATTTATACCTAAAAGGTTGGAGACTCCCATATTAAAGAATGTGGTTCTTTAATATGGTAGTTCAGTCTATGAAATCAATTCTACAAGGAGGCTAAAACTACTTTTATTGAGATAGGCTATAATAGCAGATTAGAAAAGTCTGGTTTTGGTGTACCTCCTCCTCATCCTCCTTTTTTATAGTTCAGTGAATGAAAAAAAATATCTGTCTAAGCTTTTTCTAAGCACTGTCTGGACATTCTGGACTTATCATTTCGTCCTTATGGCCTTGACAACAGAATCTGTGTATTTCCATCAAGCTAATATTCCTTACTGTCTACACAAATAATATGTTGAATCATTTTGATATTGAATGAAGATTCAATTTAGCAGACATAATCTGAGAAAATTATCTTGTATTTACATCATTTTATGACATTTGTGTAATGACATGATTGTGGTAAGGCTGTAATTTATGGTTGTGTATCAATACTATTGCCAGAGGATTTTCTCCCTGATGTCAGGGATAATGTGGAATCAGTGACAGATTCATGGTTCTCTCTAACTTTAAGCTATGCTGACTGAGGAATTCTGGGAGTTGAAGTCCACAAGTCTTAACGTTGCCAAGTTTGGAGACATCTGTCTTAGTCAATGAAAGCTACCTGTAGAAGTTTCCACCGCATGTTCAAATCATCCAGCTGTCGTGAAACTTTCAAGGATGGATGAAGATCAAGTGGAGAGAGCTGACTGGATAAGTCATTGATGCATTTGATTTTCAAGCTGATTGGTGAAATTTCTTCTCTAAAGGCCTAGAAGAGGGAATACACAACTGCTTTTAGTAAAAATCTTGAAGAGCAAAGGTATAATCTACAAATGATATATGTAAGTGTCCTTCATTTTCCTTCTTTCACTATCTCTCCTGACTTTCCTTAAATATATTACATGTTACAGTGAATATAAAAAAGCAGTGAATCTACTAGTAATGTATTATATTGCCAAGGTTTACCAGGAAACAAAAAGCCACTAAATAAATAGAAATGAAAAAGAAAAGAAAAGATACTTAATAATTCAATAACAAATGTTAGAACTTCTTAATTTGGGTTTCATTATTTTTATATTAAATCAATTACCAACATAAAAATGAAATCTGCTGAAAGCCAGATAATTCTATGAAACTTCACACTGTTTTCCCCAATAATTACTAGTACATCATTTTCAACATCAATGTTGATGTTGTTAATAGATGAAATAATCCTCAACAGATGATGCTATTGGAACAAATAGAAAACATAATAAGTTTCTCTTTGCAGCTCTTTATGCAAATACCATTAAGATGTGAACAATTACCTCTTGCTGGCAGAAAAAAGATATTCCCACTAGTATGCAAAAGCATTCTTTTATGTTTTTATTCAAACGAAAAAAAAAGGAAAGACAGATATTTTATGCTTAAATCAACATATTTAAATCTGCTTTGATTTACTTCTAAGGCAACAGAAATTGTGTTTCATTGAATTTAGCTTACTCTTTATTTGAAAGCAAGAACAAACCTCAGGCAGAGTGTTCTGTATTTATGTATAATGTTCCATTACTCATAAATAGTCTAATTTGTTATTTTCTAGGCAATCCATGGACATACAGGCAAAAGGCTTCTAAGTCCAATGCTAAAATGCTCACTGACTTCAGAATGACATAAAGTCTTAGGGGCTCTACTATTAGTTGTTATAATTTGGAATTCCTAGACTTGTAGCAGAATGGCTTATAGTAGAAAGTCCTGAGAATTCAAAGGCATTTAAAGGGGATAGATTCATTTGGTTTCGGCTTATAACTGCACAACCTTTCCCCTAAAACACAGAGTGGTAAATATATTTTAAGAGAAATTTCAGCCATCCAATTAAAACAATGCAATATTAGAACAGGCCTAAATAATTAAAATATCACCTCACTGCATAATTAAAATATCCCTTCACAAATAACACATCTGTAGCATCCTCATCTATATGGTGGACAGGTGGAAGTGGCAAGAGACTGGTCTCTGCAGTCCAGTTTGACAATGGCATTTAATTAATTAACCCTTATGGTTAGGGTGCCTAATATTCAGGGCACAGAAAGAGAATTTCTGAGTTCCTTGGATTTTCTCTATCTCCCTCTAGCTATGTTGCTCTCATTATATACATTACTGCAAACTTATGCCTCCTGCTGTCATTTTATTGCTATCTAAATAAAATAATGTTAATGAAATGTTACACATTTCCAATGGAAAAGTATGAAGCAGGAATAATATTATTTCACTGGTTTTTTTATTCTGGATCCAGCTGGACACTGGATTATGACTACCTGAGTACCACTGTACAGTTTCTATAGCCAAAATCTAAACATCATCTGGCAATGCAGTTAAACAACTCCTGGGATCTTACAGTTGTCTTATCAACTTCATCCTGCAATGAGGCCATCAGCCTGTCTCCAACAGGTTTCCAACCATTTCGCACATTCTCTGCCTCTCTCAAGTCTGCATCCAGGTCATCCATGGAACACTGCAGGTCCTTCAGTTTCTCTAGGGCTTGATCTATCTGTTTTTGCCAACCACTGGCGCAGGTATTTAGGCTTTCCCACTTCTCCTTCACTTCCGCAGACTGTTTGCGCATAGCTTTAGCAATCTTCTGTGCTTTTTCTTCAGGGGTCAACTCTGAAAACAGGGGGAAAAAATGCTCAATGGAATGAACAGGGATTCATAGTGTGTGGACAAGAAATATTGTTGCTTTCAAGAAATATTGTTGCTGCCAAGAATGACTAACTATGGACTTCCATGCCCATTTCTCTCCTTGCAGTAAGTGATGTGTTTTGAGGTGGGGATCCTCAAAGCAGGGCCAAATTAATAGGGAAAGAGACTGAAACAAACAATGTTCAAATGGAGGCAAACGCTGAATTTTATTCCTAACAATGTGCCAACAAAAACTGCATTGTAAAAAGGAAAAGGCTAACTTTGGAGAACTTGATAAATAATTGCAACATTATTGTAATGTTATTGTAATGCTGACAAGTGACTCCCGATTAATAAAATAGTATTTTTATACCATCAATGTGAAAATAGCTTCCAGGGCAAGAATATAATTAACTTACAAGATCTATTGAATAAGATACAAATACTACCTAGGATATTAACTTTTAAGAGCCTTTGGTAAAAAACAGTTTAAAAAGGTTGATCTGTGGATGATTAATACTATGAATAGGAGGAAAAGCATCCTAGAATATAACAATTGTAGAGATGTTACCTAGGATCAAGTTTAGAAAAAACATTGCAGACCTCTTAATATTGGCTATAAAAAGACAAGCAAACAGTAGAAAAGCATAATTTGTTTAAGACTTTGGCTTCAAATCAGACTCAGATCAGATTCTCTGGGGTTTTTTCTTCTTCTTTGAGGAATTGTCCCTGGGAAAATTAAATTAAATTGCCAATAGCACTGTAATCAACAGCTTGTGGATCTCCAAGTGCTTTCAAACTACAAATCCCAGCAGCTTCACTATTTAGGGCCAAAGGTAAAGGAATCTGGGAACTATAGTTTATTACTATTTGGAAGGCCACAGTTTCCCCACCTTTACTGTATTATCTTCTCAAAGTATGCATATGACAATACTAGATATTTGGAGACCCAAGCAATTAGATTATGAAATGAATTACAAAATTATTTTCATTAAAAAGTTCAGGCTATACACTTCCAACCTACGTAAGTTGAACGAAGCAAGTTTTTCCATTTCAAATCAGTACCATTTTTAAAATTTTAAAACACAGTCATAACTCATAGTATATATACTCTACAGGCATAAACAACTTACAGATACCTGCTTTGAAAACAATTAAAAGCCTCATAGATATAATAACATTTTTTATTTGCAGGAGAAGAAAAGGTTCATCAGGAAAACAGAATGCAATATGGTATTATTATTAATGTATTTTTGCTTTGGAATTTTGTCATACTGCAAAATAGTTGTAATTATAACTTACCTCCATCATCATCATCATCATTAATCATCTGTGCAGGCTGAACAGATTACTTGTTTATGGAACACTAAAAATGTGTTCTGAACTAATTTTTAGGGGTTGAATAAATGGGAACTCAGATTCCTCCTGTCTGTAGCAAATAATGCCAATAACACTTTTAATACTAAAGGAAGGAGGAGGAAGAACACTGTTGAAAGAAAAAATTCAAGCCTATTTCTCCAAAGTGGGCAAATTGTGACTTTATTGTTCCTGTACTGACCCATAACAATAGATGTGCTCTCCTGACGATTTCTAGGCCAGCGTTCCCCAATTTCTAGGCCAGTGCCTGGCTTCACGAACTGACAAGGAGGGGGAGGAGATGGTTCTGTGCAAGGGTAGGTAAGCACACAAGTGAGTAGATGCATTTGTGCAAGTAGCCACATACATCCCTGCTTGCCCAAATGGAGCTTTGCATGCATGCAAGCTCACCCGCTGCTCGTGCAAATGGGGGGTGCGCTCGCCTGCCGCTTCTGCAGCCCGGTTCCAAACGGCTCATGCCCTGGTAGTGGGACATGGCCCAGGGGTTGTGGATCCATGATCTAGGCTATTAGAAGTAATCTCTTGAGCTTTTCAACTTCCATTTTTTAAAATTATGTATTTATTTTAGTTTTGGAAGTGCTTGATAGTCAGGATTTTATATCTCACTCTGAGGGTACCCAATGTTTAGTGACTGCCTACATCTGTTTTGATTCCCACCAGGTTCTTACTCGGTGGACTTGTTTATTTCTAATGTTCTTAACAATGAGAAGCTAGAATGTTGCAAAGCAAAGTACCTAAAATAACCTAGGGCGGGTTGACAGATACAAAATGTTTGTGTCTATATTAGATGTATATACTGGCTTCCCTCTAGCAGCTCAAAATAGTGGATATTAGCTTTCTTACTTTTTTTTATCTGCAACAACAACCATATGAGGTTGAGTGGCCTGAAAAAGAGCAACTAGCCCTAAATTATCCAGTGAGCTTCCATGGCTGCAGGTGGACCTGCCTAGGGAAGGCCCCACACTCTGATTCCTAGAAGCATTTTCTAGAAAACAAAACAATGGGTTCAGCCTGATGCTTGGAAGCATGTGCACCTACATAGAAGGTGCACACAGAAAGCATTTTGGGAAGACTGAGATGATAGAGAAAAATCTTATTAGTTTTCTCCTAGTAAATATTTTTACATTGATTACAGTATATCCATCATAATAACTATTTTTGCAGAGTGCACATTATGTGCCATGAAGATTCCAGAGCCTTTTCTTTATGTGATAAGTAGACAGATAACATTTTTGGAATCTGTACACTATTTCCAAATTCTACTTATTAAAGAGAAACAAAAAGAAAAATGTTATTGCTGTTATATCCGGCCCCTACTCTTCCTACAGGCATTGCTTGAGATCAGACAGTACAATACGTGCCATATTTGAGAAAATTAAGATAAAAGCCAGGAGGGAACTGATAATCAAAGTGACTCCTACTGAACATAGCATAGCATAGCATAGAAACATTCTTCAATACTCAATCCTACCATAGATTGGCATGGTTCCTATTCATGAGGACCTCTGTTCTTTGCTAATTAAATTCTTATTGGGGATGCCAGCACCTTAAGATGATTTATTAAGAAGATTAGATATCCATAGACCCACAAAATCTGGCACTGATGCTAAGCAAGATACTTCTTTAGATGTCTCTTAGGTGTGATCATAATGCTTGTGCATTATCATGTATTATTATAATACTTAAATATGTACAAGATAAACAATTATTAATATAATTTAACATGGCATGAAAAGGCTGCCTTTTATTAATGCTGCCTTATGTGTAGATTGGAAAGATGAAGCTAGTCTTGGGTTCTAAGGAGCTGGGTGAAGATGGCAATAGGCATTATAATTTTTTCTTCATTGTAAATTTCCACAGTATATTGATTAAAATCATGAATTTTCAGATTGCTGGAAGTTGATTCAAAGGACAATTCAGTATTGCTGCATGGGTAAGTACCCTGATTTTTGTTTCAGGGTTGAGTTGTAGATTTGCTTTTATATTTGATATAAAAATGTCATTTAGAAGAGGATTGAAGGCAAACATATGTGCTATTATGAGTAATGAAGAAATTATTTACTTATGAGAAGGCATTTCTTGGCCATAAATATACCAGCCACTTTGATATTCCAGCGCATTAATGTAAAATATACTACTTACATAAAAACTGAGGCCATCAGTGGTGGGATTCAAAAAATTTTACTACTGGTTCTGTGGGCATGGCTTGGTGGGCATCGCAGGGGAAGGATACTGCAAAATCTCCATTCTTTCCCCACTCCTGGGGGAAGGTTACTGCAAAATCCCATTCCTTCCCCACCCCACTAACCTGCTTTCCAGCTCTATTCTTCTGTGCAGGGCAACAAAAGACCAGCCAATCAGCTGGGACTTGGGAGGCAGAGAATAGATGGGGGCAGGGCCAGTCAGAAGTGGTATTTGCCGGTTCTCCAGAACTGGTCAGAACCTGCTGAATACCACCTCTGGAGACTGAGTAACTGTAGAAAGAAACCATGGCTGCAGAGACAAAGTGCTATTAAATAAGACATTTGTGAGAGTAGTTTGATTTTTTTGGATTAATTTTGTTGGGTAGAATCCAGTGAATCTCTTCTGTCAGCAAAAGTAGACAATTTCACCTTTCTCTGAAGCCCTTCCTATTCTTCTTGGAGGAATCAGGGAATGAATATTTCTGCACAGATGTGGTGTGGGGGGGGAGGCTTATGAGGAGGTGCATCTAATGGAAATTAATGCATTATCTTTATTTTCATAGAGCTCCACTTCATAAAATGATCCACCTTAGAGACAAAGAGAATACAAATGTGTGTGCGTGCTCTCTTTCTTTCTAATCATATAAGGCCCTTATGCAAATGCAGTGTAACTGACACAATTAAGAGCACTGCACAGCATCAAATACAGCTTAAGAAACACTATTATGATTATCACACAATAAAGTCTTATGGACCCTTGTCATACTCCCACACGGCATTTTGTTTTAAAGCTTCTGATGATGACTTGAAGACATTGTAATCATAACAAATGCAGCCTCTTCACAGCAGTTGCAGTCGGTCTCCCTTAAACCTGCCCTATACAGCTACTCCAGATGGTACCTAACATAAATGAGGTGCACACATGTAAATCACTTGTAGCCAATATTTCTTTTATGGCTCAAGTATGATTTATTGCACCTTTTGCGTTTGTAATTAAGGGGCAGAACAGATGGTGAATCCTTAATTTAAAGTGCTTTACTTATGAAAATAATCTTTGTCTCCGCATAATTATTGATGTGTCCTGGGGAGTTCCTCAATATTTTCCTCCTTGATTCTAAAATCTTTCATTCTGTCTTTCTATGTTTTCTTTTACACTCTCAATTGTTCTTAATGTCCCTGTAGATTGCTTGAAGCCCTTGCCAAATAAAACCTTGGACAACTGATGTGATCTGCTACTGTTGGCTGAAGCAATAACATGACAAGCACGACTTTTAAAAGCTACCTTTATTATTTATTAACTGTATTCTGCCTTTTTCCAGGCACGCCAAGCAATGCATAGAGCACTCCAAACTCATGCTTTTCCCTAGAAACTACCCCCTCCCAATTTTTTAAAAAAGTACGTCGGACTGAAAGCAGGAGACTGCC